GTGTGGTCACTTGAAAGCTTTTCCTAAAGATAGATCTTGGGCACCTAAAGCAAGAAATAAAATTGTAGTCCCTCTCTCCCCCCACCCCCATGGAGCCCCAGGTGGAGCGAATAGACCCTCTTCAGACCACCGAGTGGATGTTTTCTTTTATCACAAGAAGGAAGAATACACTGAGTTAAAAGCGACATTCCTTGAGCATCCGCTGTGTAGCAGACCTTGTGTACTAAAGGCACTGCGAGGAGCTCTGTGGCCAAAGCCTTCCCTCAGATAGCTCATGGTCTAATCAGAGAGACACAAAAACAATAACGACAGTAGATTTATTAGTGTAATAATGGAAAAGGTCCAGGATAGAAGTGGATAGGGGAGGCAGTGATTACTTTGGAGAGAGAACAGGGTTGGCTTGATTTTGAAGAAATAACTCTCCATACCGACAGTGACTTTCTGGAAAGAGAAAGCAGCACATGCCATGTACCAAGATGTGATCATGCAGCTAACAGTTTTTTGGAAACATGTTAAAATCAAAAGCTTGTTCACATAAAATTTGTTAGGGTTCGATATGAAGTTTAAGTAGTAGAATAAAGCTGGGGTGGTAAGACTTTGTCATGACTTAATACCTTATCTGTCTTCATTAAGGATTTGGTGTTTATCCCTGTGGGCATGAAGGGGAAACACAGAAAGGTTCGAGTCAAGCAGAGTATTTTAGCATAAGGCAGTAGGATAGATGTGGTCTCAGAGGTGTATTTTCATACAGATTTTTGTGTGTATGTAGAATGTGCAAATGCATGAAAAATCACTCCCATTTAGAGTAATATTGAAAATGACATTTTTTTGAATAAAGCATAAAACAAACATAGTAAAATTTATGTCTAGCCTATATTATGCTTACATTTTAAAGCATATGATGCTGTATTTACTTAATGAGATAGACATTCTAACATTACCATACAAGAAAATACTTATGAAAATAAAGCCAAGGTTGTGTAGACATTCAGATCATGTAGAGCATCAGACAAATATTTGCCTAAAATGTTTTTACAAGCATACACTGATGCCAAACTTTTCAGCAACTTCTATTACTGTTGTTTAGAAATAAAACACTTGTGCTACTTCCAGTATCTCACTAATTCCCTAATACGTCTTCTAGTCGGACAGTAGATGAATCACCCTCAGGCCTTCAGGACATTGACCTTCCTTTTCCTATCAAGAAGTTGGTCATTTGATGTTTCCAACGATATGAGTTCATTTTATTTTTTGGCTACATTTCTCCAGTTCCCTTCTCAAGCCAGGCCTCTTCTTGAACTGTTTCCGAGACTCCGCGTCCTCCTTGCCCTTGCTCCCAATGCCTCCTCTCTTAGGGAGCCACCTTGCCGCAGCCTTATCCAAGTGCGGCTGTCCCTCAGGACCCTTCTCGTGTCCTGCGATTACAATGATCTACCACCTGCCGCATGTCCCTTAGCACTAATGATATTCAGTTCTTGTGATATGCTGTATATTTTTTAAAAAGTAGGATATTCTCAAAGACTCTCACAATACACACTTTGGGCCTCAGATAAAATGCTTTCAGTGAAAGGTTAGCTAGAAAACCAAGGTTCTGGAAAATACAGAAAAGTTCAAGGAAGGCGCATGCAAGAACGAAGAGAATCCTTCTTGAGACAACCTCAGTAGCTCCAGTTTTGTGAGTGAGTAGCAAGTGCGGCCGGGAAAGGAAGGTAGTGATGCCGGAATTTCTTGTTGGGCCTGGATTTGTTGTCTGGTGAAGCTGAGGAATGAGTTTCATGGACAAGGTAGTAAGCAAGCGAGAGCAAAGTTTATTTTTTTAAAAATTACATCTTTATTGATTTCAGAGAGAGGAAAGGAAAGAGAGAGAGAGAGAGAGAGAGAGAGAGAAACATCAATGATGAGAGAGCCATTGATCAAGCTCACAACCCGGGCATGTGCCCTGACCCGGAATCGAACCCCGATCGCCTGGATCCTAGGTCGATGCTCAACCGCTGAGCCACGCCCGGTCGGGCCAGAGAGAGCAGTTTATTGCGTACAGAAGAACCCCTGCAACAGGGAGGGAGGTCCTGAGCGGGTTGCCGCCCCAGTTGTTTTTGTCTAGGGGTTTCTATTTGCCTAGCTAACTTTCTACTGGTTACTTCTAAAACCCTGCCGTAGTAGTATCTGCTCGTTTTAAAATTCAGGGCTCCTGCCTAGCTCGCCCAGCCCTGGGCTCTGCCCTGGGTTAGGGCCCTTTGTCCCCGGGGTGCTGTGCGCACTGGCCTCCAGCCACGCCCGCTTCCTTCCTTATCTTCATTCCTTCCCCACGCCCCGTCCCTGGGACCGCCCAGCCCCCTGGCACTGCCCAGCCGCTTCCAACCCCTCAGTAGGGAACCTGGTAGGATTGGGACCCGGGGTGGCCAGTGTGATGTTGCATCCTAATTTTTTTGTTACTTTTTAGTTATGCTTACATTAGAGCTTTAGAATCTGTTCGTCTATTTAATAGACCATGGTTCATTTAAATTTGGACAAATGAAACATTGATATCTGGTGAACTGAAGAAACAATATATAAAAATTCGTGCCTGTTGGCCAAATTAAATTTCATGTAGTGATTAGGAGTTGGTGGCAGTTTAAGTAAACCTACATGGTTGTTTTAAAAAGCACAGAGGCATCTAAATAGAGAAATAAAATATCAGAACCAGTAAGAAAAGAAATGGCTGGAAACACTTTTTCATAAGTTATGGTAAGTGTGCAAAATACTGAGACTCTTGCTAAATCGTCAAATCAAAGAATAACATTCAGTGACAAAAGAACAAGTTCCACCATATGAGAAAATGGGTATGATGACAAATACCCAAATATTTGCATGAAATGTCTCATTGAAACATCTAAAAAGGGCAACTGGGAGAAAAATGCTTATATAGTCTGCATTTATTTTAGATAATGAATTGTGTCATAGTAATTCATGTAATCTTTTCTTTCCTTCTAAAATTGAAAGGACAATATTTGCCCTAAGGTGAGTGCTGCCTCGTTGTGGGTTGTCGAACACAGGGGCCCTTGTGCAGAGAGGTTAACATGGATTTGTGTCCTTCCATGGCCTGTAAAATCACAGTACAGATAAAACAATCTATTTTGTTAGTGGAAAAGTAAGCCCTTTGTAGAGACACAGAAAACGTTAAGATTTTCTGCAGTTCTCTTTTAATACAAGTCATTATCTGGAAAGGTACCTACCTAAGCTAGAGCACTTTTCCTGCTGCAGGATAGTATTCTGGTCTCAGACAGAAAACACTTCCCTGGAGAGAGGACACCGAACGATTGGTGCAGAGTGTGCCCCAGAGGGAACTGAGTCGGGCACCCTGTGGTCAGACAGTAAATGTATATTGAATGAATGAGTCACCGTTTATAATTACTCCAACATTTTTTTCCTTTTTAAGTATGGATTTCTTCTAAAAATGTGTGTGTGTGTGTGTGTATGTATATTTTTTAAAATGTCTATAGATAACATCATATTAAAATTACATGAAAAAAATGGCACAAATATATACATATTTTAAAAGAATCATTAGAGTTAATCTTTTTTTGCATTTTCCCCATCCCCAAATGATGTGTGCATGTGCACTCGAGAGTGTGTGTGTGTGTGTGAGTGAGAAAGAGAGAGGGTAGGGAGAGACTGGAAGAGAGAGAGAGGAAAAGGGAGGGATCGAGAGGGAAGGGGACAGATAGAGGTGATGGAACTGGTATTCTAGTACTTGAGAATTTTATTAGTGATATAAAAATAATAAAATGAAATTGATGAGGACTTTTAGATTTCTTAAGATATCTTATAATGTTAATTCTTACAGAATAAAATGAAATAGCGGATTGGCAATCACCTGGTCTTTTTGTATAGATGATGCATTATACTTTAATAATTAAAGTGAAAGAAAAAGCCTCTTCTATACTTCTAAGGAAAACGTACATTTTTTTCTAATGTAGATTTATTTTTTCTTAATATTCAGCTTGGGAGAATTACTGTATCTGAAAAAGTAATTATATTATTACTGTGCTAGGTATATGTGGATCAAATTAAAATGAACTATACATAATTTTGATATAATTAATGCAAAAGAGAATTATGAACTTTGATATTAGCAGATTGGGTATGAATAATGCAGGTTCTAAGGGATTATTTTTTCAAAAACATTTACTAAAGAGTTAACAGTAATCATATATATTTATATATTACAGTGGAGTAAAATAATAAAAATTGAAAAGATTAAGTCATATGTTCTTCCATGTGGAATATTTTCCTAGTTATAATGCAAATTTATATTCTAAAAAAGGAAAGAAATGACTAGGCTTAGCTTCAATATAATAAAAGGATACCTACTTGTTATAAGTTCTTTTTATTGATCATAACCATATTTTACAGTTTTTAGCCCTCTGCCCACAATTGGTGAACTTTAAAAACATGGCATTGTATGAAACGAAACTTGTTTATATAAGTGATGCTTTTTCCCCTCTGTAATTTATTGTTCACAGGTTTTCAAAATGTTTAGTAGGAGGCTTTAAGAATATTTTATATAATGACTTTAATGCTATGTCTCTTACATTTGCTTTGATATGTTACATGACTTACTTTGTTAAATAATGATTGTCAAAGAGTTGGACTGTGTGGTGTATGCAATTAAAAACTGTATTGCTCTCCTGTACATGCTCTACATGTAAGTGAACCCATGGGTCTCCCAAAGTGAGCCTTTAACATTCCAGAATTTTTACTGTGCATCTGTTGCTGGCATCTAGCCTCCCACCCACACAGGCTAAGACTAACTAAATGAAGTTTATGCTAGTGCAATAAAGTACATAAAGATGAAGTAATAAAATGGGAAGACAGTTACTTTATTATGCGGTTGCTAAAATAGCTTCACTAGAAGAATGTATGCACATATGTGAAAGAAAATAGTGTGTGAGCAGGAGAACCCAGAAAGTAATTTATTCAAATGGTATTTCTTACATGTCTTTTTATGTTATTTATTCCAGATGGGATTTATACAGCTCAATGAGGACTTCATATTTATTGAACCACTCAATGATACAATGGCCATAACGGGTCACCCGCACCGTGTATATAGGCAGAAAAGGTCTGTGGAGGAGAAAGTCACAGAGAAGTCAACTCCTCACAGTCATTACTGTGGTATCATTTCAGGTAATGCCTTCTGAAAGGTTAAACTAAATATGCATTGTGAGATGGACCCTTCAGAAATTCCATCCATCCATCCATCCATCCATCCATCCATCCATCCATCCATCCATCCATTTACTAGCTTTGTCTTTTTTCTTTGGTTAATGACAATTAAATATATCTATTTTCAACTTATTTTTTAGTTTTCTGGGAAATACCACATTTTAATGTCAAGAAATGTTAACTCAACAGGACTTCAGAGATTAATATGTAACAGGCCCCACATTTCTCCTGAAATATGAAGTGTTTCTCTTGGGATATGGGTCACCTCACTGGAGTAGAAATGCCACTGAGAATTCCAGCTCTCCTGAAGCTGATACCGTGAGCTCATGGCCTTAGTTTCGTCCACCTCTATGAGAACATCATAGCTACCTCTTTCCTTTGACCAGAAGCATCTTTTACTTTTTATTTTTTATTTTTTTTTACCGAAGTAAAGCTCATCTTGGAGGTTAAAATGATCAGAGGAATAGGAAGAAGAGTAAACATTTATTTCTTTGAATTTTAGTCTCAGTATCAGAATACCTTAAATCTGGCAGTTTCAGAGGCACATAAACATTTCCAGCCATCAAATCCTTGTCTCTGTCTGTCTGCCAGTTCTTCACAGAAATAAAATGGTGACTATTTTGTGCACTTCCTTCCTTCCTTTGGCAGAGATTTGTGGCATTAGCAAGAATGGTAGGGGAAATGAATGATTTCTCTTACATAAGCAGGACTGGAAGTCATAGCCAGCATTCAGAAAGTCATGAGTTTCCCTGGGACAAAGATTTAGACATCTAAATCAGACATCTCAATGAATATTCACTGATATGATGTTAGAATTGGAGGGAATATGAATTTATTGAAGAATTTTTGGTGCAAAGACTTTAAAGTTTAACTTAGATTTAAAATTAGGTGTTAGTGTAGTCAGTGCCAAGATATTAGGTCTAAAGTTGGTTATGGTTTTGAGGCTGATTTGGATATATGAATTGTGACAGTAGTAATATTTGCAGGGGCCATAGGATGTTCACATCATCAATTGTCTAGGGTGTTTGGATTCAGGAAGAATCACAATATGTCTCTGTTTAGATATATTCATCTCAAATTAATTCATGATACCTATTTTTTGTGTGAAAGGTCATGATATCTGTCTGTATGGGAATCATCTTTAAAAGTGGTTAAGTGAATCTCTGTCACACCATTCAATGCACATGATCAAGTCAATTTAAGATGACACATCTCCGTTCTCTAAGAACTGTGAACACAAATGAGAGAACAGCTGAAGGAAGGTCATAGCATTATGAGCAAGCAAAAGAAAGGCTTTTGTATAGTGAAATGACAACAGCAACCATAACTTGAATTTGGTCCATAAAAGGAGATAGCCTTGAGTGAGTTATACTGAAAATCTGCAGTGTGCAACTTTTGAATTGTAGTCGGTCCCAGCTGTTCTAGACATCCATGTACAGGGATGACACACAGACGTCTTTGTGGGCCATTATGCTTGGAGGAAAGGTTTCTAGAAAAATTTTAATTTTAATAGGCTTATAAAGCATAAATACATGGTTCATATTTGGCAAACATTTCTCGTGAAGTTCTAATTATTTTTTGTTAGGCAAAACTGTTATATATTAACTGACCTATCTGGATCAAGCACTCACATGCAAGGAGCGCTAAGCTGTCATCTGTTGGAAGATGTATTGAGCTTACCTATTTTCAGTGGCTTTTTAAGAGCCTAGAATTTAAAAATTTATTTTAAAATGAACAGTTTATGAAATAAACTGTTCATTTACTTATACTAATATGTCTAATTGTAGCTCTTCTTACTTCAGGCTGATGTATTCACATATTAAATACATGATTCAAATTGGAATAATATTTGCAGTATTGCCTTTGCTCAATAATCATAAAGTGTGCTTGTATTCAACTTAGCCTTTGTACCATTGCCTGTCTGCATTTTAATGCCTTAGTATATTATGTTTATATGTATTTATTACATGAATATTTTTTCAAAACAGGGACCTTCCTACTTTAACATAGCTTTGTTGTATTCTTTTATTAAAAGATAGTATAGAGGAGGGGAAGGCACATGAAGTTGAGGGTCAGAAGGCCTGGGTTTAAGGCACACCTCAGTCCCACTCCAGCTCGGTACTCTTTTTCAGGTCCCTTAAAATTTTGAAGTTTAGCTTAATTATTTGCAACATAAGCATGACCAGTCACCTCACAGAGATGTAGAGCTGAATGACATAGCTTTTATTCTCTAGAGGTGACCAATGTATTATTTTATTTTAAAATTTAAATTTATTGACTTGAGAGAGAGAGAGGGAGAGAAAGAAACATCGATTTGTTGTTCCATTTATTTATGCATTCATTGGTGGATTCTTGTATGTGCCCTGACCAGGAACTGAACCCACAATCTTGGTGTATTGGGACAATGCTCTTACCAACAGAGCTACTAGGCAGGGCATCAATGTATTATTTTAGGCAAACTGGTAAATGAATAATTATACTGTAGTGTGATAAGAACTGTGACAGACTCAGTACACAAGATCCCAAGCTTCTGCTATTGAGGGGTTGAGCTTCAAAGATCAAGTAAAACTTATGCACATCACAGGGAGCAAAGGGAGCAGAGTATGCAGGCTAAGTTAATGAACTTGGGGGTCAGACTGCCTGTGTTCACATTCTAGAGCTACCACTTCTGAGTTTTGTGACTTTGAAAAACGTACTTTATCTCTCAAAAGCTCTATTTATAATATAAAAAGTAGGGATAGTGACACCCAAAGCTCAGGGTTGTCAGAATTAAATGAGATTATGTGTGCAAATGAAAAACGTGAAATTTTTAGTTCATGTTGTTAGTTGGGGAAAGCATTTAGGCAGGAGCAATGGCATCAACTCGGGGAGCTGAAGCCAAACGTCTGCAACATGGTCATGAGATACAACCCTGGAAAGGTAGTCATCGACTAGATAAGGAAGGGGCTTGTGTACTGTGGGAAGGACTTTATCTCAAAGGCAAAATGTGGTCTTTGAAGACTTTAAGCAGGCAAGTAAGGTTGTCAGTATGTATTCCCTAACATTTTAGTATAAATTATGAGTATGTCTAAGACCCAGACCACTACTGAAATCATTTCCATACACCATCCATAACTGTTGTGGAGATTATTGTCAGTATGCGGAAGGTATTATGGAGATCATACATTGAACACTGGTGAATGCGCATTTTAAAATTTCTTCTCTGACTGAAAGTGTGTGATATCAATTATGTTGTTTTTATACATGCATATGGGTGGAAAATGGCCTCAAGGTTTAGGAGATGAGAAATGAGCTGAGCATAGTTGATGTAGACATTGAAGACTTCAAAGGAAGCGACTTAATAAAAAGATTACTTCAATATGCACGATTTTCACACACAGTGGCTAACTTGTATGATGGCATCTACCATGAAGCTGAGATTTTTAAGAAACAGACTGTTCCAAGTAGCCTATTTAAATATAATATGCAAATGTGGATGCTGCACACGGACAGTTTGGCGCCAACAGATCTGTCACTAGCTGGGGCAATAAAGGGGACAAACTTTTCTCTCTCTGTTACATGGTCTATTTACCACTCTCAGTGCAGTTCCAAAGCCCTTCATTGTGTAACTATCTCTGGTTTCATTTTAGCTCTCCTTTTATTTTTCTTACATTTCTGATTCCTTCATGAGTGTGTCTTCTTCCACTTGTACACCCCCCACATGTAGGCATTTTCTTAAACTTCCTCCTTTTCTTTCTACTTCTCACTCCACATACTTTCCTGGGTGGTATAATCCAAGCCCTACCTACTCTCTTGTAATTGGCTTTTTTTAAAAAAAATTTACCTTTATTGTTGAAAGTATTACAGGTGTCCCATTTTTTTCCCCCCATTGACCCCCTCCACCTTGCTCCCACCCCCTCCCCGGGCCTTCACCCCATTATTGTCTGTGTCCATGGTTATGCATATATGCATATAACTTCTTTGGTTAATCTCTTCCCACCCCCACCCCCCTTCCCTCTTCCCTCTGAAATACATCAGTCTGTTGCATGCTTCAGTGTCTCTGGGTCTGTTTTGTCTGTCAGTTTCTTTTGTTCATTAGCTTCTTCTTAAAGAAGACCCTTCAACATTTCATGTAATACTGGTTTGGTGGTGATGAACTCCTTTAGCTTTTTCTTATCTGTGAGCTCTTTATCTGACCTTTAATTCTAAATGACAGCTTTGCTGGGTAGAGCAATCTTGGTTATAGGTTCTTGCTTTTCATGACTTTGAATATTTCTTGCCACTCCCTTCTGGCCTGCAAGGTTTCTGTTGAGAAATCAGCTGACAGTCACATGGGTGCTCCCTTATAGGTAACTAACTGCTTTTCTCTTGTTGCTTTTAAGATTCTCTCTTTGTCTTTAACCTTTGGCATTTAAATTATGATGTGTCTTGCTGTGGGCCTCTTTGGATTCCTCTGTGCTTCCTGGACTTGTAAGTCTATTTTTTTCCCCAGGTAGGGGGAGTTTTCTGTCATTATTTTNCCTCTTTGGATTCCTCTGTGCTTCCTGGACTTGTAAGTCTATTTTTTTCCCCAGGTAGGGGAAGTTTTCTGTCATTATTTTTTCAAGTAGGTTTTCAATTTCTTGTTCCCTTGCTGCTTCTTCTGCATCCCCATAATGTGAATATTGGGCTGTTTGAAGTTGCCCCAGAGACTCCTTACACTATCTTCATATTTCTGGATATTTTTTTTCCTTTTACTCTTCTGGTTGGGTGTTTTTTGTTTCCTCATGTTCCAAATTGCTGATTTGATTCTCAGCGTCCTCTACTCTACTGTTAATTCCCTGTAAATTATTCTTCATTTTAGTTCATGTAGCCTTCATTTCTGACTGGTTCTTTATTATGTCATTGNTTCCTTTGTGACATGTTTCTTTGCCTCCACATTTTGGCTGCTTCCAGGTGTTTGTTTCTATGTATTAGGTAGAGCTGCTATGTCTCCTGGAATTTGTAGAGTGGCTTTGTGTAGTAGGTGTCCTGTAGGGTCCAGTGGCTCAGCCTCCCCAGTCACCTGAGCTGGGCCTTCTAGGTGCTCCCCTGTGTGGCTGTGTGCACTGTCCTGTTGTAGTTGAGCCTTGGTTGCTGTTGGCATTACTGGGGGGAAATATCTCCCAGGCCAATCGGCTGTGAGGACCAGCTGTAACTACAGCCAAAGAGCTGCTGTGCTGGAGACACCCCTATGGAGCAGGATTTACTTCAGTGGAGCTTTGGTGTTCACTGAGTCCACCCCTTGAGTGTGTCATTCGTGGATGTGGTAGGGTTGAAATCCAGTGTGGTCAAAGCTGACCACTGGATACACTGTCTCTGGGGCCTCCTGGGAGATGAAGAGTCAGCTTCTGCATGTGCCCTGCCCAGGGCCACCCAGCATGAGCTACACAGCAGTCCGTAGATGGCTGCTGCCTGTCCTGGGCTTGGAGGTGTCCAGGAGAGGCCAAGCTATGAGCCAGTGCAGGCTGTAGCTAGTGCCCTCCCTGGAGCCACTTATGGAGAGGTATGGGGCACGCTGAGGCTAGATGCTGCTTGAGAGATTTTAGGAAAGTCCTAAGCATAAGGCTCCAGAGGCCACTTGCACAGAAAAGCCCCTGGAAATGGCCTGGATGAGCTGCAGGTGGGGAGGGGCGGGGCCTCTGGGAATCACGGGGCGGGGCCACAGGTGTGAGTCACCTGCTGGTGTTTCAAATATGGCGCCTGCCTGCCGGCTGTGTGTGGGGAGGACTCGCCAAAGGAGCAGTGGCGCCCGCCAGCCCCTCTGCCTGGGAGGAAGCCGCCCTCCGCCTCTCGCCCGGATTTCAGGCAGGTTAGTTCCTCCCCGAGTGTCCCGGGTCCTTTCCGGCTGCTGCCCGGCGCTGGGCGCAGAGGGAGCGTCCGAGTGAGTCCGTGC